CTCCGTGGGATGCAACCCAGCAGCCCCCGGCATTGGCAGCAGTGCCAGCTCCATCCTCTCCATCTCCTTCCAAATCCATAGCGGCTTCCAATTCGGCAGCCTTGGGCATTGCTGGGAGCCTCCTTCTCTTGGTTCCCTTTCCTTGATTCCTTGATTTCCTTGCTCGCCAGCGGAAAGCCCGGCCTCCCCGGGAACGGCGGAGGCTCCTTTGCAGATATCCCGATCCGTACAAGTTTTAGTGTAGGGAAGTGCTGGCCCGTGTCCATGCATCCCGCTCCATCCCCATTGTGCATCCCGGGCTGCATCCCTGCATCCTTAGCCTCCCTCCCCTGCTTCACATCCACACCCCGGGGAGAGCTGCAGCAGAGGCATTAGAAAGGTAAATTCCCTGATTTTTAATTTCCCGACATTATGAGGATGCAAATCTTAGCATGCCATTCCCACAGAGAGTTTTCGCTTGAAAACGGCCCTTTGAATTTCCTTTCTTAATTGTTTTCTCTTAAGAGACATATATGCGCGCGCGTGCTTGCATCAGCAGCTGGTTTATGGTTTGCAGCCCTTTGAAACCCCTAATGACACGTCTGAAACTTCCTTGGAAAACCAATTCCTCTCCCTTTGACGTGGATGGATGAATATCCCCTCAGAGCTCAGTCTTGCAAGCAGCATCTTCCATGTTTTTTTTTCTATTTTTAATAAAAAACCCAATTTTTCATCAGTTTTTCGGAAGTAGATGTGGAGCAATCTCTCCGTGCCAATCCCTGCCCGCTGCAGCCGTGCTTCTCCCTCCGCTCCTGCATCCCGGGGATATCCCGGATCTGCAGGAAGGGTTGGGGTTCTTGCTGTATATTAGCAAAGTTTGGCTTCTGTGGGGAATATTTGGGCACTTTCCCTCCAGCCATCCCTCTTCCCACCCATCCCTCTTCCCACATCCCTCCCAGCCAAGACTGAATTGTCCTGTTGCCACCAGGGACCCTTTAAATAAGGTGGGACAAAGACAGGGAATATTTTCCCATTTTTCTCCCCGTTGCTATCCAGTTTATTATTATTATTTATGATGATATTTTGGACCCTTTTTGAATGACAACTCTATCAAAACAGCTCGTTTGGAGATGTCAGGTCCGTTCTTGATAAGTCATCAGTCACCCTGATCGGTGCCGACAGGCGCCCTGCGACGGTGCTGCGGTATCTAATAGACTGCGCTGCAGTCTTTTGTAATATCACATTATTTTATTTATTCAGCACGGCATGAAATCTCTCCTTTGGGAAAGGGAAAGGAATTAACCCTTAACGCTTCCCTTGCTGGAGAGCGGAAACCCGGCTCAGGTGGAAAAGGGGTGTGGAAAAACATAGGGATGTGCCTGGAAAAGCCTCGGCAGCCTAAGGGGTTGTTGCTATGGCTGGATCTTCCTGAGCCGGGAAAAATATCCCTGAATATTCCCAGGATTCTTGTGCCCTTTGCTTGGGCAGGGTGATGATCTGCTGATGGGTGGGCATGGGATGAGGAGCTGCAATAAGTGTCCTGGCGTGTCCGTGCATCCTGGCACGTCCGTGCATCCCGGCGCCGTCGGAAGCGCATCCGTGCATCCCGGAGCTGCTTTCCTCGCCGTCCACGCCGCCGGCAGCCTCGGCTCGCGCTCGTTAACGTGTCTGCCAAGCGCCTGACGTGTGAAACACCCTTTTGATTAGCTCCAATTGCCGGGGCCGCCTGGGAGCCGGGGCTGCTCCGCTCCAGGCTCGTCCTGCCGCGACCTCACCGCGCGCTCCGGCTCCTCATCCCTATGGGCCATCCCTATGGGCTCCGGCACCGGGATGCCTCCCTATGGAGCGTCCTGCAGTGGTCCTGCCCTGCCACAGACGCTGCCCTTTCCCATGGGAAAATTTCCATGCCCTTCCCCACGTGAGCTCCTTTGGGAAGACCTGCAGGTGCTCTCGGAAAGGCCACGGAATTATCTAGCGCGCGGAGCGGAGTGGGACGGAGGCAGCTCGTTACGGAGCCGCGCTGCTCGCTGTTGGCACAGTGTCCTGGTGGGAATGCAGGCGGATTGGCGCCGGATCCCGGCACCTCCGACCGCGCCGGGCGGCTCAGGGTGCATGGAGCACCTCGGGATGCTCGATGCGGATCCCATCCAAGAGAGGCGCTGCTGAGGGGCAACAAACGGCGCTGGCGGCACCTTGTGCCACCCCAGGACGGGCACTTTTCCTCCCTGGCCTCTACACTGGGCACCGCTTCTGTTTATTTGCATTTCAAAGCAGGGGAAGGACAAGCAGGAGCCTCCTCAAGCCACCCAAAAGCACCGCAAAACACCCCAAAATTTCATCATCATCATCATCATCATCATCATCATCATCATCATCATCATCATCATCATCATAAAGGGTGCCTGGAGGAGGCCAGGTTTTCCCTTTGCCAGCTGCTTAATGAAATGTCCCGGTGCTGTTTGCGGCGCCGGTGCCGGAGGAGCCGCGCGTTGCCATGGCGCCCGGCGCGCCGGGACCGGGAATACCGACGAGGCGGCCGCCGCGAGCGGGACACGTTGCCACGTTACCGCCAATGGTCGCTGCGGGTTTTGGGGGGGATTCGGGCTTTATTTGTTAGTTTTTGGCCTCGGTACGTGTGTGCTTGCACCCTGCTGAGGTCCTCGCTCACAGCTGCTTCCCCAGCTGAGCCCCTGGGAGCGCCGATTCCCGAATATTCCCGTTTGGAGAGGAGGGAGGTTTCGGCCTCGAGGGAGGCTCGGAGGCCGTGCAGGTAACACGGACGCTGGAAATGACCCTTGGAGGACGTATTTGTGATTCCCAGTGCCCGAGGAGCGGCGTCTCCGTGCTCCCGTTAGTCCCAGAGCACGGCTCGACCTCGGCGGCTCCACTGAAGTTTAGGAAGTCACTTATTATACACCGAACAGGAGAGCATTAGAAACGTTTATTCAAGATTAACCGTTATCCAATGGATCCCTTTAGAACCGGAGCTCTGTCGGGAGCCGATGCGGAGCATGGCGGCTTTATCCATCCCTCGGGATGCAGCAGGGAAAAGCCGAGATCCACATGGCATCCCCTGCTGGGCAGAGACGCCAAATAGGAGCGTTTGGCACCTTATTTTAGGTGCTTTGCTGGTGAAAAGACTCTTCCCTTCTCTGCACCTCATCAGTTCCCAACCTCGGTGCTTTTTCTGCTCTCTTTTTCCCGCTTCCTGGCTCCTGATGCTCTTGTGCATCCGTCCTGCTCGGCAGCTCCCTTCCCTCCGGCTCCCTCCGGCTCGGCCTCTTATCCTCCTTCTCCCCTTGCATCTTTCCTCCTTTTCTCCTCCTCCTCTCATCCTTGCTCCTTCCCTACTTTCTCTCTGGGCTGCCTCCTTATTGTCCCATCCATCACTGATTCCCAGCTGCGTCCCCTGTGCCTGCTGGGGATGGATGGATGGATGGATGGATGGATGGATGGATGGATGGATGGATGGAGAGGGGAGGGATGGAGCCGCTGCAGGTTTGGGGCAGGTTCAGGATGGGAAGAGCCCAGCTGAGCTTCACCCAAAGCTTTCCAGCCTTCCTCACGGTCCCATTTCAGGTGCACCCATCTGCACCCATTTCAGCTGCAAATATTTACGCCTCCCATTTTGCTCCTAGCAGCATTCCCAGGGGAAGCTGGGCTCCCGCAGCCCCCTTAGTCCCAGCAGTGGCTCTCAAGGTCAAGCAGGAGCCTCCACGTAGGGTTTTGGCAAGCGGAGCACTAAAAACGGGCCGTGTTTCGTGTCCCATTACAGTCCCCTGGGGTTTAGGAACCATTTTTTTTTCCAAAAAACACGACATTTCTGTATAAGCACCAATCCTAGCACTGCCACAAGCCTGTCCCGGGGTAATCTCGCATGCAAAGCTCTCCATGGCCATCAGCTCTGCAACCCGGTGCCGTGCTGGGGACCAAAGCGCTAAACCCCTGCGCTGAACAAGAAGCCTATAAAGATATCACCAGAAAGCAGAACAAGTGACTCTTTCCTATATAAAAACTGCTAGAGCCAAGGTGCTTTCTCTGGACCCCATTTTTTTCCACACAGCCTGAAGGAAAAAAAAATATTCCTTCGTATTATTTTATTTAAGAAGATTCTATAATATTTTAACGGCCGGGGAGATTGATCGCTGCAGAAATGCCCGTGCACTTGAAAAGGAAGATGCGGGGCCCTCCAAAGGAGGCAGAAATCAATAGATCCTTCCTGTGCGTTAGTGCTGCTCGGCCGGGAGGCGGCTTGAAAGGCAGCGCCAGGCACACGTGGCGGGAGAGGTTCACGGGGCTGCTCTCCGTTGGGATTTCTCTTGGTTTTTCCCCCCTTTTTTGTGCTATTCCCGAGATGAGAGCTGGGTGGAGACCCTGGAGGAAGGGGGGGGGGTTGTTTTTTGCCCCTAAAATCCTGCTTTTCCTGCTTGGCATCGGCTTCCCCAGGGCTATTGCGCATGCTGGATGTAGGGGGGACGTTCAAATCCTTCCCGGAGCGCCTGTGATCCGGGCAGCCCTTGGCCGTGGAAAAGGCCGGCGGCGGCAACAACCAGAAAATGAGAAAATGAGAAAATCAGGAAATGAGGATCTGCGTTCGAGGGGGGCCGCGGCACAGCAAAGAGCAGATCCGGAGGGAAAGGAGCTCCAGTTTCCTTTCTATTTGGTGCAGAGAGTGGGGGATTGAGCCGCGTGGGGCTGCAGGTGATCCGTGCCCTGCGAGTGGCACCTGCAGACGTCGCCGGCGTCTCCGTCCCGCTGCTTGCGCTCCCGCTCCCGCGTTGCGTGCGCGAGCTCTCCTCTAACCCACCTTCTCGTCCGGCCTCTTTCAGGAAGGACCTTGAGGAGCAGCGCGAGGGATGCAGCCGAGCGGCCGAGCGAACGGCTCGGGGGGGCCGCAGCGGCGCGGCGCTGATTGACGGGGCGGCCGCGGGGCGCGGGATGAGCCGGCGGCGGCGCCCGGAGCGCGGCCGGCCCCGCGTGCCGGCGCTTGGGCCCGGCGCCTCCCCCGGCGCGCGCGCCCCGCTCCGTGTGCCGATGTCCTGGGTGCCCGGGAAGATGCGGGGCTTCCAGACGGGCCTGTTCCTCCTGTGCGTTGCCGCCGCCGCCGGCGCCGCCGCGGTGCCCTGGAAGGTGGGCTGCCCGCGGCGCTGCGTGTGCCAGCTGCGGCCCTGGTACTCGCCGCGCTCCGTGTACCGCGAGGCCGCCACCGTGGACTGCAACGACCTGCTGCTGCCCGCCGTGCCCGCGGACCTGCCGCCGGCCACGCACACGCTGCTGCTGCAGGGCAACAAGGTGGCGCGGCTGGAGCGGGGCGAGCTGGCCTATCTGCGCAACCTCTCCGAGCTCGACCTGTCGCAGAACAGCTTCTCCCGTGTCGGGGACCTGGGCCTCGCCAACATGCCGCGGCTGCTGAGCCTGCACCTGGAGGAGAACCAGCTGGCGCGGCTGCCCGACGACAGCTTTCCCGGGCTGGGCAGCCTGCAGGAGCTCTACCTGAACCACAACCAGCTGCGCAGGATCTCGCCGAGGGCTTTCGCCGGCCTCGGCAGCCTCCTCCGGCTCCACCTCAACTCCAATCTGCTGAGAACGGTTGACAGCCGCTGGTTCCAGATGCTTCCCAGCCTGGAGATCCTCATGATCGGAGGGAACAAGGTGGATGCGATCTTGGATCTGAATTTCAGGCCGCTGGCGAACTTGCGGAGCTTGGTCTTGGCCGGGATGAACCTGCGGGAGATCTCGGACTATGCGCTGGAGGGGCTGCGCAGCCTCGAGAGCCTCTCTTTCTACGACAACAAGCTCGTGGAGGTCCCCAAGCGGGCGCTGCAGCAAGTTCCCGGCCTCAAGTTCCTAGATTTGAACAAAAACCCCTTGCAGAGGGTTAAGCAAAGTGACTTTGTGAACATGCTGCACCTCAAGGAGCTGGGGCTGAACAACATGGAGGAGCTGGTTTCCATAGACAAGTTTGCCTTGATCAACCTCCCCGAGCTGACCAAGCTGGACATGACCAACAACCCCAAGCTCTCCTTCATCCACCCCAGCGCTTTCCACCACCTTCCTCAGATGGAAACCCTCATGCTCAACAACAACGCCTTAAGTGCCTTGCATAAGCAGACGGTGGAGGCCCTGCCCAACCTGCAGGAGATCAGCATCCACGGCAACCCGCTCCGCTGCGACTGCGTCCTCCGCTGGGTCAACAGCACCGAGACCCGCGTCCGCTTCATCGAGCCGCAGTCCACGCTGTGCGCCGAGCCCCCGGACCTGCAGAGGCGCCACCTCCGAGCCGTGCCCTTCCGGGACATGACGGATCGCTGCCTTCCCCTCATCCCCGCGCAGAGCTTCCCGGCCCGCCTCGCGGTGGCCGCCGGCGACGACGTCTCCCTGCACTGCCGCGCGCTGGCGGAGCCGGAACCGGACATCTACTGGGTGGCCCCGTCGGGCGTTAAGCTGCTCCCGTCCGCGCAAGGCGGGCGCTACAGGGTGCACCCCGAGGGGACGCTGGAGATCCGCGGCATCTCGGCGCGCGAGGCCGGCCTCTACGCCTGCGTGGCCCACAACCTGCTGGGCGCCGCCACCAAGAGCGTGAGCGTGACGGTGGGCAGCGCCTTCCCGCCGAGCGAGGCGGGCCTGGAGCTGGCGGTGCTGGAGGTGCAGCCCTACCGCGTGCTGCTCGCCTGGCAGCCGCCCCTCAACACGCTCTCGGCGCGGCTCACGTGGGGCAGCCCGCGCGGGGACGCGCCGCGCGCCGCGCGCCTCCC